CCTCTTGGCCATTGGGAGTGTACACTCTCAACGTCCGAGAGGAACCCTCCTGTCCATTTAAAAGAGAGTGTACCTCTTGGATATTGAGAGTGTGAAATCTAAATGGCCAGTGTGGGATGCTTTATTGCAAACCATATGGCCAAAATAAACATTTGATTTCATTTCCTCTTTTCCTCTGTTTTTGCTCTAGTCATCTCCGTTTATCTCTATGGACCACACCATATCTGTACAGAATTATACTCTACATACAGCTCAAACTCCCCCTGATAGCAACTCACAGCTTAGTTATAGCTCTATACTCTCATGCCAACGGTGGGCCACTACACTAACCGTAGCGGTTAGTGTAGTGTAACGCAGCGGAATCGCTGTTGGCAATTAGCGTAGCGTAGCGGAATTCCGCCACAACACCGCTAACGCTACGCGTGTGGCCCGCAAAAAAGGGCCCACTAAGCTGCGCTACAGCGGTTTTTAGTGGTTTTTGGCCGCTTTTTCCGCTAAAAGTGCTGTAGTGCAGCGTAGCGTAGCAAAAAACCACTAGAAAACCACTAACACTACGGTTTTTGGATGAAAAAAGCGCCGCTACGCTACACTTTTTGGGCCAAAAGCGTAGTAGCGTAGCGGCTCACCGCTGATCATGCTCTACACCCTATCAGGCGCTTACACATATAATTTACAACCCTCAAGGCGGGCCTGGAGGGCCTAGCGGTAACCATCACCCACAGAAGCTTGGTGTCTCCCCTGCAACAACATAGTATAATTACTTCGAAGAGAGTGAAGAGTCCGGAATTTGAATACCGGCAGACCCAACCCCTGGCCGCTACCACTTCTGATCTTGGACAACTAAACACTACCCCATTTACACTTTCAAACCCTTTATAAAAGGGGGTTGGAAAAACGACTGCCAAAAATTGTCCGACGACTCCCATTTTGGTAGAGGGGTTGTTGGACAGGAGTCGTTTGTCTGAATCGATGGCCGACTTTGGGAGTCGGCCATCCAATTTCTTTTTTGATTTTTTAATTTTTATTTTTAGGGAGTTGGCGCCCCAAACCACCCCTCATGCTTGAGGGTTTGGTACCGGTGTAGTATGCCAATTGTGTTTCAAGTATCAAATTGCATAAAGTCACAGTTCAATATGTAGAAGGGCATATATTCTTAGGTGTATTATGGCATAATCACATTCTACGGGGGGTTGATAACCGCACGCCAACCCCCATGGCGCACGCCAATCCGCACGCCAGGCGCAGATTGGCGTGCGGGCCTGCACGCCAGGCACAGATTGGCGTGCGGGCCTGCACGCCAGGCACAGATTGGCGTGCGGCTTAGCTATCCAATATTCAGTGCGTATGGTAACCACAAGTGAGCCACATTGTTTGTATGTACACTGAGAATGATGTATAGGGCTAGAACCACAAGTTGGCCATTTATAGATTATTGGTTAGGGCTAGAACCACAAGTCAGCCGGGTTGTAAAATAGACTATTTAAGGAGGGGCTTTCCCCCCCTCATTCCAATTTTTCATCATCAGATCATATCATCACAACAGATCATCATCTCATCTGATCATCAACCAGACAGAACAGAGCAATCAATCCATACATTAACCAGTGTGATCTTAATCAAGTGCCCCATTGAGATCATTCAAGACATTAAGCATAAGAAAAAGAAAGTAGCAACTAGTACAACTTGTGATCTTAAACAAGAGACAGTGATCTTAAACCATTGTGCTCTTGACCAAGGAGGAAGGGAAAGACACTTTCAATAGTCACATTTTTCCACAATAACATTTCATAAATTCACATTCATCATCAGTACATACGTCAATCATTTTTCAAAATACATAAAAATATAAACAGAAAAACACCTCTTACTCAACATTTCCACTCAAACAGTCTGCTGAATCCACGTTGATCTAGGTTTGATAAGAGACTGCTACACATAGTTTTCTCTATCATCAGTTTTTGCCACAACAATAAAATAAATTGTTGTGTTAACTCTTGTGTAGTACAATAGAGGGGCAGGTCTTTCAAACCAGCCGTAACAGTTGTAGTGGGATCATTACATACGTGATATATCTCATCTGCTATTTCCCCCTTCACAGGACTGCCACCATTCCCAAAGGAGTTCTCACACCAGAAGGGATTCCTTTCTGGTCAATGAGGTATAACATTTCCTCATTTGGATTGGAAAGGAATTTCCTTTCTGGAT